CGAAGTGGCGCTGTGGCTCAAGTGGTAGAGCACTAGCCTTGAGCTGAAGAGCTGAGGGACAGCGCCCAGGCCCAGAGTTCAGGCCCCACGACCGGACCCCAAAAAAAAAAAAAAAGTTGTGAGTGGAGCTATGCCTCAAGTGGTACAGCGCTAGCTAGCCCAGGGACAGGGATAAAAATGAATAAATAAATACAAAACCCCCACACAGGCAGTGAGGAAAGGCTTTGGAAAGCCTCATGTGCAACAGCCAGGCGCTTCTAGAAAGAAAAATGAACAACTAGAACTCCCTGTCATTGGTGACAACACGCCTCTGCTGGGGGCACCAGGAGCAAAGTCCTTGACATCTAGCTGAAGAAGACCTACCCCGCCACCCCAACACCACCCCCAGACAACAAGGCCTCAAGGACGCCTTTCCCCTGGGTGTCAGGTCCCTGGTCCTTAGGTCTCCTGTATGGTCACTTCCTCTTCCTGAGATGGTGGCTCAGTGGCTGGGTGGGGAGGTCACAGATTTACAGCCTAGCAGGAAATCTGCTCAAGGACCAAGGTGCTACTCTGGGACCCTCTGTGTGGGAACTTTTGGGCTGGGGGGGGGGGCTTCCCCTGGCCCTGGTTCCTAGCAACTCTCCCCACTTCCTCCTGCCCCCCCCAGCCCCCCCTGAGAGAGGAGTCCATGCAAATCAAGGTTTTGCTTGGGAGGTTTTGCCTGGGAGTTTCCAGCCCCACCCCACCTGTATCCCCAGGGTGAGGCCAGGCAACCCCAACCCTGCTGGGCCTGACCCTAGAACCTTCCAGCCTAGGCCCTTGAGCAGGGTGCCTGGAGGAGAGTCATTGTGCCCATGCTGGGTCACTGTCCATCCCGGAGCCCGCAAGGGACAAGTGGCACTGCCTAGGCAGACCTGTGGCACCTCGCTTCTCTTGGCTCCTGTAAGCCATTACCGGGTGGCCTCTGCCCTGGCAGTGGGTGCCCCCAAAGACTGCTGCCCAATCCCTAGCTGCTCCCTCCCCCAGAACAGAGGGGTGGGGGGCACAAGGAAACAAGACAGGGCAGGAAGCCCAGGCAGGCGGCGGGCACTCTAGGCCAGGCACAAACAGCCAACACAGGAAACCACAGCCCACCCCCGCCCACCCCACCCGCCCAAGGCTCTGGAAGAGAAGAGTGCCAAAAGCTTGGTACCCCAACCGAGGCCAGGGGCAGGGGTTAGCCTGGGCCAAGGGAGGCGCTTGCCGCTCCCTAGCCTTCTCTCTGCCCCAGACCCTACCTGGGGAGGGGGAAAGGAAGCCAGGCCGGCAGCGATGGTGCTGCCTCTTTAAATCCACCGAAATCCTGACCTAGGCCCAACCCAGCTCTGGTTTCACAGGAAGGAAAGGAGCTGGGGAGCCAGTAGGGCAGGCGGTGGCGGCTGGAATTAGCCCCACCAGCCCAAATATATCTGGTCTCCTGTAGCCAGTCCACTGGCACTTCCTGGCCCCTGGCACCTGTACCGGCGTGGGGGTGGGTGAGGGTCTACCTGGTGGGATCGCCTGATCTCAGGAGGTGGCTGCTGGCTGCTGGCTGC